ACCGGAGCGGGAGCGGGGCCGGGAGGAGCCCGGGGACTGTGGGGAGCGGAGCGGGAGCCAGAGCCAGCCCGAGAGAGAAGTGGCGGTGGGCAGTAGGCTGGGGCTACACGAAGAGGGGGGACCGGGCTGGGATGCGGGACATACTGGGCTGTAGAAGGATCTGTGTGAGGAAGGGTTGTGGGCTTGGGGAGGATGGGAGGCTGATCCCCCACGATGCTCAGCCTGCGTCACTGGCGGGGGGCTCCACCATTCACTGGGGCAGAGGATCTGTTACTTCACTGAAGGGAAGGGCAACTCAGAAAACTGGGGGGGGGAATCCAGTTAGGTATTGGGGTTTGGGGCTCTGCATTCTCCCCAGTCACCGAGTCCCGGTGCCCAGCGGGTTGCAAAACTCTGGGTGGACCTGAGCCTGAACACTGCACCCAGGTGTCCCGGTGCCCTCCACCCACCGTGGCTTTGCAGCCTCAGGGGAACTGGGTGTCACAGGTTCCCCCCCGCCACTGCACTCTCTGCAGTGCTGGGCAATGAACCCAGGTCTCCTAGCTCTTGATTAACTTGGCATCTTTGTCTGGTGCCTCTTCCAGCCCAGGACACCTGGGTCCCCTTCCAGCCTCCTTTGGTCTGCATGTTGGCGGGCCCCATGGCCAGGGATGCCTTTGCACCCCTGCTCCTGCAGCATGTGGGTGCTGGTCCCTGGAGCTGGGTACCCATGGGTGGGTATTCAGGAGATGTGCCCAAGAAGCCTTCCAGCCCATGCCCGTGCATCCCCCCAACAGTTTCCAGCCTTGGGGGCAGGGAGGCTAATTGGGATGCTGCCAGTATGGAGCTGGGACTGGATTGTTTTGTGGGATGGGCTGGTTCCCTGGCTGGCAGAGTGGCACTGGGTGGGCAGAGTGCCTCTCCAGCAGCAGGGTCCTGGGGGGGCATAGAGCTGGGTGCTGGGTTGGTCCCCCTCTGGCACAGTGATGGTATTGGCAGTGAGACAAACAGAAGAGACTCTGGGGGTATGGGAATCAAAGGACCAGCTCTTTCACTAGTGAGGATAATTGCTGTTAATGAAGCCATGGAGGCCAGGGCAGAGCGGGGGGTATGTGCATGGGAGATGTGTCGGCATCCCTGTGCATCCCAGAGGGTCCCTGGGAGCCGGGGGCAAGGCCTCTTCCCGGGGCACCCTGCAGCAATGATGCTGCTTTGCATATGCAAAGGAGCTCATGGCATCATTAGGTCTCACTGTCACCCAGCAACTGCGGCGTGGGAGCCCCTGTCCTGGGGGAGCTTTTCCCACGGCTGCCGGGTGGGTGACGCCATGTCTGAGCACACACACGTGTGTGTGTGTGTGTGTACACCCAGCAGGGTGGCACTAGCTCTAGGGGCTGCCAAGGCACCACCCGTGAGTGGCCCTGTGGGAGCAGGTGCCCAGGGACTAGAGGCTTGCAGGCACATGAACAAACCCGTGTGAGTGTGTGCACGGTGGCACATGGAGCTGCGTATGGGAGCAATGAGTGCGTGCCACTGCTCTGCTGTGGCTGCTGGGGACATGTGTGCCTGCAGGTGTGCGTGTGCACACAGGGTGTGCATGTGCAGCACCCTCACAGCCCCTGGGGGGTTTGCACACACACAGAGGCGTGCAGTGCACATGGATGGCCCACCTCCTGTCTCTGTCTGCACTGGGGAAACTGAGGCAGAGAATTTTGTGGGGAGGTACCCGGCTCCCTGACACTTTGGCACCATCCCTTTTGGCTCTGGTGCAGTGGGCTGGAGGAGAGCGGGGCGCCAAGGCAAGGGGGGGCCGCCGGGCCTCTGCTTAATCTCATTAGTCTTGGCATGAAAAGGCGGATTTACAGGGGCTCACGTCTTCATCTGGCAGCGGGTGGGTGGGCAGGGCTGGCATGCTGCCAAGGGTTGCCCCCCTCCAAAAACAGTCAAATGGGAGTTTAGGAGGATCACTGGCTGCCTGCAGCTGTGCCAAGACCCCTCCCCGTCCTCAACCCCCATGCATGAACACACACAGTTCATGCTTGCACAGTTTGGATCCATCCTGCACTCAGTCACACTCGTGGCATCAGCTTCCTCTTGCTGTGGGTTGTGCCAGACAGGGTGGGCATGGCTGCTCATGCTCAGGGGGCTCTGTGCCCCCTTTACACCCTTCCAATACACACCTCAGCACACGCTGCCTGGCATGCACCCCAAAACACAGCATGACAGCGAGACACCCCCAGCGTGGGCACCCTACTGGCAGCACTCGCACGTACTCGGGTGTGCACATAGGTTTTTGTGCACATATCTGTGTACCCACACACGTGCAAATACATGCATGTATTATCTACACGTTTATCTATGCACATTCACATGTGCGCACAAGTTTGCATGCACACATGTGCATTCAAGAATTTTTACCCCCTGTGAGTGCAGATATACACAGCTGTGCCCACACACATGTGCTCACAGAGACACTTGTGCATGGGTATGTGCAATGTATTCACAGGGACACACAGAGATGTACCAGTATGCTGGGAGCACGAGTTTGCACACATCTGTGCATGCACACACATGTATGTGCTCACACACATGCATGCACACAGCTGTGCAAGCCTCTGTATGTGCTCACACAGCACAAACAGCATGGACACACACATGCACATCTGTGCACACAATCTGTGCGTGCATACACACGCACATATACGTGCACATGCACAGATGTGTGAGCACACAAGTGTGTCCATGTGTGCACACACAGAGCCTGCACCGCCAGGGGGCGGCAGAGACTATTTAAATGGGTGGAGGCAGTGCCCCACCCCCCTCCCCTGTACCCCCTATCCCCACTCCATACCCCCCATCCCTTCCTCTGTACCCCCTATCCCCACTCCATATCCCCCATCCCTGTACCCCCTATCCTGTAGCCCATTCCCATACTGCTGCAGAGGACACGGACACAGGTGAAGATGTGTGGGGGACATGGGAGGAGGATGAACTGCTGCTCAGGGGAAACAGGCAGGTCAGAGCTGAGTGTCTGGGACTTGGTGCCACCTTGTTCCCGCTGACGAAGCCCCGTGTTCCCCCCAGCCCCAGGACCTGGAGGCTCCTCCAGCACACTCCTTCAAGATGACAAGCTTCAAGAAGGTGAAGGCCTGTGGGATCTGCCGGCAGGCCATCACGCGCCAAGGCAGCACCTGCAGAGGTGAGCTGGGGCTGTGGGAGCGCGGGTGCACGTGCCAGGGAGGTCAGGATATGGGGGATGTGTGTGTATGCCTGCATGCACAAGGATCTGAGTGTGGGAACCTGTGCCAGACTGTGCACACACACATGTGTGCCTGTGTGTTAAGAGGGAGAGCTGTGGCTGTGAGAGAGTGTGTGTGGTGCCTTTGTGGGTAGGAAGGTGGCTGGGAGGCCAGGGTGGCCCATGGAGACGCTGAGGTGTCACACGTGTACGTAGCCATGTGTCAGCTTTGTGCACGCTCAGTGAGTGTGCAGCGGCCACCACGTGTGTGCGCATGGGTGGGGGTCTGTGCGCGTGGGTGGGGGTCTGTGCACACTCGTGGGTGTCACCCTGAGCCGTGCTCGCTGCCCATGACACCCAGTGGGTCACAGGTGGGGCCGCCTGCCCTCGCACGTGTGCGGTGTCGCTGAGCCCCGTGCGAGGGGCGGACAGAGGAAACGGGAACAATGAGGCTTCCTGTGCTGCAGGAAACGGGCCCGAGGGGAACAGGGATTGGGGTGCGGCTGTGGCCGTGCTGCATGGGGACCCTTGTGTCCCTGGGGATGGGACATGTGTGTTTGCAGGGCTACTCAGGCAGCATAGTGCTGCCCTGTATGTGTCCCAGCAGTGGCAAACAATCCTGCACTGCCCATGAGCACGTGCCCTCCACGGGGCATGGGTGAAAGTGTGCAGCAGCAGTGCACAGGAAGGAGGGAGGGAGCACAGGCAATGGCAGCACCCCTGGGGTGTTCTCAGTCATGCCTGTGTCCATGAGAGGCCCCATGAGACCTGTGTGTGCATGGTCTGCCTCCATGCTGTTCACCCTGGGCATGGGGGCTTGCACTCACACACACTCACTGGCTCGTTGGCAGCATGTCTATCCCAGAGCCACATTTTGTGAGCCTGCTCCTGTGCTGGTGCCACCTGGAATGTGTGTGCACAGTGCGAGGTGTGGGCGTCCCTGCACGCATGTGCACGTCCTGGCAGTGCCCAGTGCCAAGGTGCTCTGTACCCTGCAGTGCTGGGTGCCCCTCCTTCCTGCCCTGCATGTGGGGTGCCTGCAGGCTGCCCCCTGGCACTGCTCCCCCTCCTGCCTCCAATAACCCTCTCTCCCTCTCTCTCCCACAGGCTGCAAGCTCTCCTGCCACACCAAGTGCCAAGCCAAGGTAAGGCAGTGTCCTGAGATGTATCCCAGCCCTGCCTGCAGGTGCTGGGGACTCAGAAGGGAGGATGCCGTGGTCCATGCCAGCTGATCCCACTGGATGGGCACCCAAATGGGCTGGTGGCTCTCGGCTGGTCATGGTGGCAGGGGTGTCACCACTGGGTGAGGCTGACAGTGCCATCCTGCTGCCTGGTCACTGACAGCATGTGCCTGTCTGTGTACAAGGCTGGGATTTGGAGTGCAGCCCTTGTCAGAGCAGACCAGCAGGTATCTGTGCCCCAGTGCCTGGAGCGGGGTGCCCTTTGCCAGGGTGAGTGCTGGGCACGTGGGTGCCATGCGCCGTGGCTGAGCTCTGCCAGCTGCGTGCACACAGGCTGAGCAGCTCTGCCGATGCCCAGCCAGGGGCGGATCTTGCTGGCAGGAGACAGAGGATGCCCAGCGGTCTCTGTCTATCCAGCTGCTGCACCAGCAGAGGGGGACCCTACTGCAACCCAGGTTCTCCGAGGAGCGGGAGGTGGGCACGGTGCCCATTACTGTGCTGCCGGGGCAGGGGAGGCTTCGTGTTCTTAATCCCTGGGGAGGCGTGTATGCCAGCTATCTCTGGGGCTGGCATCCTGGGCGGGAAGAGCCTGGCATGCCCCAGGCAGACAGCGTAGGCTGGGACATGCCTGTTCCCGTGCCCATTGCCTGTGCCCAGCTGGGCAGGGAGGGAGAAGGAAGGGAGGGTGCTGTGCCAGGGGCTGGGCACACGTTGGGCTTTGCAGGGTGCCATGGTATGGGTGGTGGTGCAGGGCAGGCACTGGCAGCAGCCCTGGCACCGAGCCTCAGCTGGGCTCCTGGGGGAACTGGGGACTGTGGGGTACCCTGGGCCTTGTATGGGCTGGGCAAAGGTGACTGGGAGGTTTTTTAGTGGAGCTGTGCCAGCCCCAGGACACTGTGTCACCCCGGGCAGCCTGTGCCAGGAAGGCTGAGGCCAGGGAAGGTGGCTTTGCCGGGGTGCTGTGGGGAGAGCTGGGAGGGGCGTGCAGGACGGGATGCCTGTGCTATGGTGGCAGGGAGCATCTGCCAGTGGTTTCCAGGCAGGAGGGAGTGTCAGGAAGTGTGTGTGTCTGGGTGTGAGCCCGGTGGGGATTCTCTGATGCCTGACAGGGGGCTGTTCACTGAGAGGGGGGTCATACCAGGCTCCCAGCATCTGGCTGGGCTGTGCGCATGGGCTGTGTGCAGCTCGCTCTCCCGGCCGGCTGCATTTCATTAGCCTCCATCACCCTTCCCACGCTCGCTGGAAGCTGGAGCCCCCTCGGTGGGGCCAGCTAGCCGAGGGGTTTGCTGCTGGGGGGAGCGTGCATGGGGCCAGGGCCAGGGGCCTTGTGCAGAGCTCCTTTGGGCCAGCGCCCAGGGAGGGGCTCCTCCGGTCGGGCAGATGGCCAGCTGACTCACACGCCAGCCTGTTATTGTAGGGTCTCCGAGGAGGGTGCACGTGGGGAGGGGGCTTGGCATGAAGCAAAAATGGCCTCTTGTTTACCTGAAGTCCCTCATGTTTAACCCCTGCACTTCCAGGATACTTTGGAGCGGGAAGGCGAATGCACCCCCAAAGAGCTGGCAGCTGCCCCCTGCAGTGCTTCCTCTTCCTGCCCTGGATATGCTGCCAAAGTCCTGGTGTCCCCTGGCTCTGGTGTCTCCTGGCCCTGGAGTCTGCCCCACCATGCTGCTGGCAGTGTCTGCTCTTTGGTCCCCACATTTACCTCCCTGGCACTCTCTCCACCTCTTTGTTCTGCCCCGTAGCATGGCCAGCTCCCAGCCAGCTGCATCCTAGGGGAAAGCCCCCACTTGCAAACCTCAAATGGACCAGGTGTAGGGGAGTGGGAGAGATGGGGGTGTAAAGAGTTGTACTCCTGGTAATCAGTGTGGGGTGCTAGGGGGGTACCATGAGTGTGATGGGGATAAAGGGAGAGGGGCACTGGAGTGTATGTGGGGATGCCTGGGAGCTTTTGAGGTGCTAGTGAGCGCCCCCTCCATGAGAAGGCAGTGAGCAGGCAGAGCTGTAGCAGGGAGGGCAGGACCTGTGCCCTGGCAGTGACCTGCATCCCTCAAGTTTCCATCCTGCCTGAAAGACAGTGGGGCAGCAGTGGTGGAACCCAGTGCCCTGTGCTGGCAGTGATGCTGGTGGGATGCCTGGTGCCCGTGGGTGGCTGTGGAGGGGCCAGGGCAGCTGCACACTCATCAGATGGGAAGCACAACTCTGTTCCCATGCCCATGTAAGGCCCTTCTTGCGCCCTGTGCCTCTGCTCAGGGATTTTTCCTTGCTTAGAAAACCTCCCTCCCTCTCTCGGAGAGGGACGGTTGGATGGATGGACACTGGTATGTATGTGACACACACAGCCTGCCCCTCCCTCCCTCCCTGCACCAAAACTGCCTGCCCAAAGCTGCAGGGGTGTATCTTCCCTTGAAAAGCAGGGAAACTGAGTCACCCTGCCTGTGTGGGGGCAGCAGGAGGCAGGGAATATGGTGTGGGGTGCAATACCTCTGTGCCTGCGTTCAGGCATGGGTGAGCCTGTGTCGTGGGTGGCATGTGCTGGCAGTGGCACAGCCAGGATTGTGGTGACACTGCTTTCTGACCGAGGAGAAGCTGAGCAGTGGGGCCATGCAGGCACGTCCCAAATCAAGGGATATCCTAGGAGTGTCTGTGTCCCCCGGGATGCCCTCACTCTGACTGTGGCCAGCTGCTGGTTGGAGAGGCTGGGAAAAGATGGGGGACTGTGCTGCTTCCCGTAGAGGGAGCTGGCCCCACGACGGATGGTTTGGCTGGGGGACAGGGAGCGCTGTGGCGTTTGGCTGCCGGATCGGCTGGCGATTGCTGGTGCTTGGTTCTGGGAAATGGCGCCTGTGCCAGCCCCCGGGCCTGGCCAGGCTCCAGCCTGCCACACAGGGGCCCAGCAGTGCTGGGGGAGTGGGGGTGCTGGGCTGTGCCAAGAGGGGAAACTGAGGCACATCACATAGCACGGGGCAAGGGGTCTAGGTGTTGTCCCCCCTGTGTCTCTTCCTAGGGAGCTGAAAGTGTGCATTGGAGCCATGCCAATGCACGTGTTTGTGTGCCTGTGTATGTAAGCATGTGTGTGTGGCTGTGTGTGCTCACAGATGCATGCACGAGTGCATGGGCTGCAGGAAATGCACGTGTGTGCAAGAACACCCATCTGTGTGTGTGAGCACGCTCGCACACAGGCGGGTGGTCACATGCATGTGCTCCCCATTCGCTGCCATCCATCCCCGCTGGCCTTGTGCCAGGCCTGGGTTGTTTTTCAAGTGCCCCCTGTGATGGGGCTCCGGGGGGGGCAGGTTTGTCCATCATTAAACCGGGGCTGGAGCAGGGCCAGGGCCAGGCAGCGAGGCATGTCCTGGCCAGAGCAATCGCTCCCAGCGCCCGCGGCGGTGATGGGGCCTTGGACGGCTGCAGGACCCATGGCAGGGCCTGGTGGTGGGGGTGAGGGGGTGTGCCCCCCGCCAGCTGGTGCTGGGAATACCCCCTGCTTGTTAAGCAAGTCAGAACTAGGAAGGGAAACTGAGGCAAGGGGTGGTTGGACACTTCCAGGAAGGCTTGACTCCTGGTGAAGCCATGCCATGGCCAGGGGCCCAGGCAGTGTTGGGGGGTATGGCCAGGCCATGTATTGCAGGTTCCTGGGGTCTGCAAGGAGGGGACATCCATGTCCCAGCTGTGGAAGACTCTTGTAATGGGACTTGTGTCTGTGCGGTCCCTGCTCCCTGCCCCAGCCACTCTGCTTCCTCCCTGTGCTGTGGAGGGGATGATGACGTTCTGGTCACAGGGGAGTGCCCGTCAGGTCCCTGTCCCTGATGGCCCCGTTCAAAGCCACCCCCCAGAGCTTTGGCACAGGTAATTAGCAACACCCCTGGTCTCCACAACAGAGGGGGCGGTGCGTGGGAGGGAAGGAATCGAGCAGGAATACGTCCTTGACCCCAGTATGGGCCCAGCTGGGGTGGAGGGATGGGGAGCTGTGGGGCTCAGCCCTGCCCCAGTACTGTGCCAGGTTGTATTTGTGCAGCAGGTCCTGGAGGGGCTTTTATTGTTTTTTTTTTTCCTCTTTCCTTTTTCCCCCTCTTTACGTCACTGCCCAAATATTCGGCCTCTCAGCTCCAGTGGGGGGCCGGCTCCGCTGCTGGGAGAACTTGGGGCTCTTCCCTGCACCCTCGGGGTGCTGCACGTAGAGGATGGGCAGGGGAGAGGGGATGCTGGCACTGCTCATGCTCGCTGCACTGCTGAGCACTGGCCTGGACTGGCCTGGGAGGGGTCAGATGAGGCCGTGGGGACCACCAGCCTCCCTCCTTGGCAGCTCCTAGGGCTGCATCCATCTTCCCAGAGCCCTGTCATGGTGGGAAGCAGGGTCCAGGCCTGCCTTATTTCCCACTGATTTTCTCCCTTCCCAGAGCAATTTGCATCCCCCATGGCCACTCCTCCTGATACCTGCCCTGGGAAGGGTGCTGGGTCCCTGGGAACTCCCAGGACCCTCCAAGAGGTGTCAGTGATCCCAAAACAGCTGAAAAGTGTGGCTCAAGAGGGGCTCTACAGACCCTGCACTGGGGCTTACCTCCTTGTTCTTTAATCCCTGGAGACAAACCATACCTGGGTGCCTGGTCCCCAGGTCTCCTTTCTTCCACTGACATTGGGGGTAACAATGCTCAGGGGTGTTTGTTTTGGGTCACAGAGGGGCTGTTTCATGTGAGGGTTGGTTTGTCTGGGGGGGCTGGGAGTCACTGGAACCACTTTGCAGACCGCTGGGCTTGCTCCCACTGGCACTTTGACCCTATGGCTCCGGGAGATACTTTGGCAGCTGTAGTTCAAGGATGTTGTCAGGACTTCTCTGGCCGTGTCCTGTGAAAGGGACACGTCATGTCCCCAGGGGACATTTCCTGTCACTGCCCCGGGGACCAGGACAGGGACGAGGAGCTATCAGTGCCCTTTGCTCACCCACTCATTTCCATCCCATTCAGTTG